TAGCTTAATAGCAGCCATCAGAAAGAAAGACAGGAAGTGGCGTGGAGAACACATGAGAGAGAGAGAGAGAGAGAGAGAGAGAGAGAGAGAGAGAGAGAGAGGAGAGAGATGAGAGAGGAGAGAGAGATGAGAGAGGAGAGAGAGAGAGAGAGAGAGAGAGAGAGAGAAAGATAGGAGCACAGGTCAGCAGGAAAAGAGAAGGTTTGCTGACTTGACAGATTCCCTCCCCCCACGCTTCATTAGGACAACTATACCGCACTTTCACAACAGAGAAGGCAGGACAACTCATATTATGTCCCGTTCAAAGCAAGATATTTGTAATCTAATATTAAAATGGGGCTGCAACAATATAAAATTTCTGGTTGTTACAGATCAGCTAATATTTTTTTTCATGTCTGGTTGATAGCCGATAAGTGGTTGATATTAAAACTATCGACAAAATGTTTGAATAAATAAACTACAAGTAAAATTGCTACAAGTACATTTAAATTGACACTGATTTTGAGATTTGCTAAAAAGTATAATTTATAAAAGATTACAGTTAAGTGCTAGATAATAGCAAAGGATATCTAGTACACTACTGTTCAAAAGTTTGGGGTCAGCAGTTTTTTTTTTTCAGGGTTCCTACACGTTCCATTTCAAAATTCCATACTTTTCCAGACTTCAATTTCCAAACCTCTCTGTAGATTTTTCAGACCATATTTAACATAAATGATTATATTTGGAGTACAATCATCTGTAAATATTTTTATTTTTATAAATGTGTAAGATTTTTCTCCCATTTATTTTCACGAAGTGATAACATGCACACGCGCTAACATGCTGAGAAAAAGCCTAAAACGCTTTATAACCTGCATATATTCATCTCTGAAACATCGGTTTGATGCACGGCCACCAAAATCAAAGTACAGTCTGAATTAGGTGATCGTTTGCTCTTTCATCTGTCCTGGTTTGAGCAGAAGTTCATTAGCCTGGTTAAAACCAGACCATTCTCAGTTGTAACTGAGGGTGTATTCACACCTGCCTTGTTTGGTTCGATTGAATCGAACTCTAGTTCGTTTCCCCCCTTGGTGCGGACCTTTTGGGCAGGTGTGAATACAGCAATCGAACTCGGGTGCGGACTCAAACAACCGAACCGAGACCAGCTGAAGAGGTGGTCTCGGTACAGTTCCAACGAACTCTGGTACGGTTTGTTTACGGTGTGAACATGAACCGACCCAATTGCAAGAAAGCACTGCGCCTTTTAGTTAACAGGCTTCCCTAGTCGGAGATTTTGGCATAATGGTTTGTGTTGTTGTTGTTCAAGTGCGAAAGAGAATTCCATTCGGCGCGCTGTCTGGCCACACGATACTGTTGCGCGTCGTGTGTGCATCATTGGAATGGAATGAATGAATGAGTGTGTGCATTCACAGGACATTCACATACAGAGCGTTCTCTTTAGTCTAATCGCGCATAGATGCAAATAAAGCTTTTGCAGTTCATATAATGTAACGATAGTTACAATACAAGGATGATGCTGCCTTAAACTGGACAAACTTAATAGCAAGCGTTAACATTGACAGCACTTGTTAGCAGTAATAAGAATCTCATTATTTGAATGTATACATAGCCCCTCACTATGAATGAAAACTTTATACCTTATCCGTCTTCTGTGCAGTTTCTTCATATTGCGTTTGTACAGAATAACACAAAATTAGTAAAATAACAATATTGCAGTACGAAATATCTCCATGCTGAGCCTTTTTTGCACTTCCTGATTTCCCTACTTGAGAATCCTTGTCCCATGAATAGACGACCTTAGCACACGTGTGGGTTTTGTTTACAAATTTTGGTTCACTTGCAAAAAGAGCAGTGTGAAAGCGAACCGTACCAAAAAAATAATAAAAAAATATTTTGGTCCGGACCAAAGCAAGTGAACTATCGGACTTTCCTGGTGTGAATACACCCTGAGTTATGGTCTGGCAAAGCGTCATAGACAAATCATTTCCAGAGGGGCGTCACCAACGGACGTCGCAGATAGACCTAAAAACCAATCAGAGCGATGAAGGAGATGACGTATGCAGAGCTGCAGAAACATCTCCGAGTGTTGTTCTTTGCTCGTTTTTAACAAAAGTGAAACGTTCAAATCGCTTAAAACAGACGCGATAGCTGATTCGAACGAGTGATGTTTGACGGCAGCATCCATCTTTGTAATGTAGGCTACAAAATCTGCTTCAAAATCCCAGCGCTGTCCGTCATCGTGTAAAGCCCGCCCCAACGTTTCTGATTGGTGCCTCAATTTCGGCGGATTGGAAATGAGCTTGAATGAGCTCTTTGCCAGACTAACTTTCAGAGCAAATCTAAATTTGCCGGGTTTTCATAAGAGTCAGAAGTTCATAAGAGTCTTGCTTAAAGGCAATTAACAGTTTTGCAACGATCACTAACTTTTGCCATAAATTCCCTCTGCTTATATATATATATATATATATATATATATATATATATATATATATATATATATATATATATATATATATATATATATTTTTTTTTTTTTTTTTTTTTTTTTATTATTATTATATATTTAGAAACCTGCATAGGGGAAATAATCCAGAAACACATTTTTTCCATACACCGTTTTCTTTTTCCATACTTTTCCATTCTGCGAAATTAATACTTTTATACCGCAAGGATGCATTAAATTGATCAAAAGTGATAGAGTTTTACATTATTACAACCAAATCTATTTCAAATAATGCTGTTATTTTGCAATTTCTATTCATCAAAGAAACCTGATATATCATGGTTTCCACAAAAATATTAAGCAGCACAAGGGTTTTCACATTGATGAAAAAAGAAATGTAATAATGTAGAAATGTTTCTTGAGCTTCAAATCAGCATATTAGAATGATTTCTGAAGGACATGTGATATTGAAACCTGGAGTAACTGTCACAGAAAATGTTAAAAATAATCAGGAAAAAAACCCAGCAGCAATTTTGCCCACTGTGGTACCTATATATTGTGCATTCTTAAACAAAAACACTGTAAAATGCGTTGTTTCACTAGTCTAGAGCACCCTCATCTATCTGACTTCCACACCAAGGTCAGATGTCTCAAATAGCATTAAGGAACCAACGTGTCAACAAACATACAAATCAACCAATGTCCAAATCTGTTTACTGTACACAGAAGGAAATACACCTCTTTAAGAGTAAGGACTGTGTATTTCCAAATGACTTTTATAGCTTATAGCCTGTGTGTGTTCTTGAACCTCCAGAGAGGAGAGATCTGTGTGAGTTTCAGTGATGTTATGCAACATTTGAAAATCTCTGACGGGTGAGTCAATCCACCCAAATGTGTTATTCCAGATTCACCACAACAATTCACAATGATCCAGATCAGTAAATGAGGACTGCAAGGTCAGAAATCACCCACAAACACTCAAATACAGAAAAAACAGAACTGAATGAAGTGGAAGAGAAGGAAATGGTGGGAAATAAAACCATACAACAAGCTGAAAACAACAGAGATAAGGCATAGAAAAAATGCAGAGGGCATAAGGAAGGAAGAGGCTGATGATAAACAGAAAGAAAGAGAGAGACAGAGAGAGAGAGAGAGAGAGAGAGAGAGAGAGAAAGAAAGTGTGTATCTACTGCCAGATTAGTGTCTGACGTAACATTATCACACTGCTGATAGGAGCAAGAGCTGGAAAGAGCAACCATTAGGGAGGAAGAAAAAGAGTGAAGGAGGGAAAAGAGAGGAAGGAGGGAGAGAAGGATGGAAGACTGTATGGCTGGAACAAGACAGACCTTTTATACCACTCACTGAAAAAAAAAGAACGAGAGAAAGAAAAAGAAAGAACTGGCTAAAAAGGAAGGGCAATGAACAAGGGATGGAATAATGTGGGCAAGAAAAAAAAAGAGTGAACAAGCTAAAAAAAGTGGGAGGAAGATAAACAAGACTGAGAGGAGCCTACTAACCAGAGTAGAGAGGGAAAATACAATGAAACAGAGAAACAAGAGATAAAAAGGAGAGATTATGGCCATTTTGGCCATAAAAAACAGACTTATATTCAGACTATTACTTCTCTAATTTCATCAAACAGGGTGGAAAGTGGATGAGACCAAACTAATAACACAAAACATAACAGATATTATAATGTCCATTGCTAAAACTAGCTGTTCTGTTTTTTTTCCACCAAAATGATGTCACCTCCTGGAGGATAATGTAATTAAGGAACTACCTTGCATTAATTAAGAAATTAAGAGATGTTACAAAGGAATAACAGGGTAGAGCAAAGGAATAGCTCACCCAAAAATTAAAATTATGTCATCATATATTCACCCTCATGGTGTTCCAAACCTGTATGACTTACTTTCTTTTGCAGATCACAATTGTTTTCAAGAATGTTGGTAACCAACTTTGTATGGACAAAAACACATTTCTCAAAATATCATATCAAGTCGGTCACACTTTAGATTAGGGTCCAGTTCTCACTATTAACTTGTTCCTCAAAAATCTCCTAATTACAGTTTAGTAATAGTTAGTAAGGTAGTTGTTAAAGTTTAGATATTGAGTAGGATTAAGGGATGTAGAATATGGTCATGCAGAATAAGGCATTAATATGTGCTTTATAAGTACTAATAAACAGCCAATATTTTAGTACTATGCATGCTAATAAGCAACTAGTTAATAGTGAGAATTGGATCCTAAACTAAAGTGTTACCAGAAAGTCATACAGTTTTGGAACAACATGAGGTCGATTGATTGACACAATTTACATTTTTGGGTGAACTATCCCTTTAATAATAGGGACAAAGAAAAATCCTATAAACTGATTACGCAAAGCAACATTCCCAACAAAACACAGATTGAATTCATACCAACTGTAAACCATCCCGAAGTTTATATGAACCCCAGACCACCTCTTTTATTTCTTTTACATTTCCACTGCAAACATCCACTCGGCCTTAACAAGGAATCCTGCTCGAGTCATAAACCTGAAAGCATCTTCCCTCACTGATGTTCTCTCCTTGGCACACACACCAGACATCAGAGGGGCTGCGAGGATGCCAGGCATTCCTGAGGCAGAGGCAGAGCCAGCGCGAGGGCCGAGCTTTGAGGGAGGATCATCTTCGCCTCTCACCTCCTCACTGCTGGAATGCAAATCCATAGCCTCTTCCGATGGAGAAACAGGAAGACTGCAGAGTGCGTGATTATCCACTGAGTCGTGGTACATGAAGCACAGCACTCAGCTTGGTCTGATTTACTCTATAATCTGATAAACTCAGGTGGTGTGAGGCAATAGAAACTAAGACTTTCATAATAAAGAGGCCTTCCAATCAAATATGGTGGAGGAAGGGAAGATATGGTTAAAGGTCATGGGACACTGAAAATCTTAAACATAGGCATTTCCTCCGAGGCGGCAAGGGAGGCAGTGTCTCCTCAAAAAAACTGGATGAGAAAATAATCGATATTATGAAAATGAAACAACGCATATATTACAAAATGTGACATTAAAAAGTGTAAAAGTCACTCGATTTTATAAAGTAACACTGTCCAACAGAGACACCCGCAGGTAAAGTTACAGAGGGAGGCTTGCCTCCCCTGAGCCCATTGACATTTAACAGATCCTCTAAATCGTGCGCTGGGGTTGGTGGGGGGTAATTGAGAGTGAATGGGGGAAAGTCGCGTGAGAAGATCCTCCATCGCGCTATGATTGGATGTGATTGGTTTGTACGATAGATTCCATCTCTTGATTTCGTGCACACTCTCGAATCGGACCTGAATGAAGACAATGATGGCGTTAATGGGAAGACTAATTAAATAGTAAGTAAACAACTGAGCCACTTAAATATCACTGCTTTACGGCACAAACTGTGCACTCCCATCAAGTCATGTTTATTTTTATACCATATTATACAATAGATTACTTTAAAGCAAGCAGCTTTACAATTTTCAACATGAAAAAACAGTGTCCCTTTCAATTAGAATTACAATTTAAAGCAGCACTCTAGTGTGTTCATGTTCGCGTCTGACCTTGTCGGACAGAAGAAGATTTCTAGATATTAGAGAAGGGTTTTTTTGTCAAAAAAGGCAGAGCCTCAGAGCTACACCTACATATTACTTAACTGTCATGGACCTATGGTAGTACGAAGCTGTTTACTAGCTTGAGAAAACTTCAAGAAAGTTTGCTTTGGCAAGCTGTTTTGAACTCCCAAAACAAACTTCGTTTAGTTCTGATTTTGTTTGAAATGACGTAAGACCAGTTCATTCTTAATTTTTTACTGGCAGTGTATTTGGGCTTGGACTTTTTCATACTTTCATTTTTTGAAGTGTTTTCACTTCAGCAATAATCTGCTGAGTGTTTCCTTTAAAACAAGACCAAACTTAGGTCTATATTCCAAAGCATTCTTGAATTACAACCATTTAAGTTTGAATAGTGCATTTTAACCCCCATTCTCAAAAAGAGGGGTGACAGCTAAGGGGTTAAAGGTCTCCTATGATGCACATATTTGCTGGAGATGGTTTGTTTGTGAACTAAAAGAGCTTTTTAGGATGGCTACTGATCAAGGTCTCCACTTCAGTTTATGACAAAGTGTATGTAATAGATGCTAAATGCGTCTGTGTCTGAGTCAAGATCACAAAATATGATTGGTAAGAGGATGCAACTTTACTGCTGCTTCTTATGTGAATGCTTTAATTTTGCAAAGCTAAAATGGGAGGGAGTAGTCCATTAAAATATGTTATTGCGATATACAGCCAAAAATATAGCCTTTTCAACTAGTTTAGGACAAACCATCTTGTCTTGGCAAATCTGTTTCCATTTGCCACTCACTGTCGTGTTTGAAGCAGTTTGGTGTCTCCATATCCAACCTTAGCTCTAATGGTGTCGATGAAGCAATAGAGTCTCCTTCCCTTTCATCCACTCTGATTTATGACCAGAGCTACCAAGATTGCCTTTAACAGCCCCGACAACGCAAGGTCTCGCCTCACAAAGACCCGTGCAAACACACACCATCATGCACTTCTTCTAGTCAAGGTTAAAGCGGACAAAAACAAATAAATGATCACATCACGACCGATGTCTCAACTGAGTGCGGACTATAAAATAACGGGTAAGGGCTAGGGACGCTAATGAGGCTGTGGAGGTGAAGGTGTTTATGGCTGAAACAAATGAAACCGTAGCAGAAGGCGGTTGGGGCCTCAATCATGCGCCACAGACGCTGCCAGCGGCAGGTAGGTTCACTAAGAGAGGCAGCAAATTCCCTCCCCCTGACAGTGAAACCGAAGCTGTTCGCACCGGTGATAAATGGCCCTCTTCGCAGCAGGGTCGTCCTCGCGGGAACGCCAGGTTTTTGTCTTTTGACTCCTCCCGGGGTCCGCAGGCCATGACGTTCCCAAATGAGATCCGGTTTAGAATTCCTGCATGCCCTCTGTGCCTCCTATTTTAGAATCCTTACAGCCGCAGCGGGCACAAAGATGGCGTTCTTCATGGCAAGCAGCAAATCCCAAGTGAGTGATTGAGGGGAAAAAAAATGGGGGTTTAAAATGGTCTCTTGTTAAAATGGTGAGGAAAGAAAGATCATGGTTGACTGAACATGGCAGATGACATATGAGCAGCAACAAATAAATAAAAAGAACCCCTTGAGAACAGGCTAAAATCGGGATTCAATGTTCTTTCAATAAATCTGACTTTGGATACGTCAGCAAATATAGCGTAGGTCTTACGTCACACTGAGGGCAAACGTCATTTAGGGTCCAAATAAAAATCTGCCAATGAAGCTGGTGCTTGCAAATATTCCTTAACATGCTAAACTTAGATAAACAACTAAAATCTTAAAAGAGAAAAATAAATAAATAAAATGAAAATAAAATCTAAAAGGCAGAGACCACAATCTCTAGACTCACTATGAGAAGCTGTATCGTTTCTCTCTATTGATTTGGACCAACGTCTCTAGGAAGTGTGGCTTCTCTTCCATGTACGCAGTACCCATCGCCTGACTCTCCTGATTTAGCCCTCCCACCAGTTTACAGGGATACACAAACACACACACACGTACATCCCAGTTCATAGCCAGGGCTTAGCAGCGTGGAGGGACAATTTCAAGCCTAGTCACTCTGCAGTGACCCCAAACCGGAGACTGCCACTGGATTAGACATTCACTCGCTCTCTCACACACACCCCTCAAACGTCACTTTACAATCTGTAGCATTGTTCATCGCTCTTTAATTCTTTCTAAATATCTTTTTCTTCTTCAAATGGGTCTTCAAAACTCAAAACTGTGCTCTTCAAAACTCTGCTTCAATATACTGAACACAGCTGACTGAAAGATGTTTTTTTATTACTGCCTTCAAACTATTCTTTTTTGTGTTTACATTACACTTACGTTTACATTACATTAAAGTTTTGTTACTACAAAGTGTCTGGTCTGAAAAACTTCAACTTAATCCATTTTTTGATTGTCTTTTATCAAATCTTCAGGCATGACCAGTCTAATTCACATATGCTTTTACTCAATGATTAGAAACATGCTGAATGAGTGAATTGAGGTACTAATCAAATGTGGTCACTTAAATATTCTGATTTATATCTCATATAAAGCATATAAAGAATATCTGATTAATTTCAGTGAATTGGTTTGCTCAGACCATTATTAAAAATACATCCGTTCAATAAAACGATTCACATATAAGTTCTGTCACGCCATTGTACGTCATTTCTATAATATCATTGTAGCGGTACTCATGCAAATATTTATCAGAACAATTTAACAAATTAATGTTATATTTAGTTAAATGCTTCCACTGTTTCCACTGTGACCATTTTTATGATGCTTTTTCCAGTCTCATTGCTGGTATTCGGTGTAAATTTCAGTATGTGCATTTGTACTGTCAGCATAAAAGAGATAATAAATTAATGTTTGCTATTGTGTAGTTATCTGTGACAAAAAATATAAGTGTAGCCTGACTGTAACTGAAGCTTGGTAAGCCACAAGGTACTCATAATTTTAAAGTAACACTGCCTCTGTACAAGCTTGCAAAACTTACCATTTTTCTTGGGAATATATCACATTACTCAAAGCTATTCAAGGATCAGTGAACGCTGCTGAAATGTAAAGGAGGGCGGACTCCGGACCTGGAATTGGTATTCAGTTTCTCAATTCACCTTTTTCCCCTCCCTCCCTTTCAATGTGGCGTAACAAACCCATACGGACCATGTCCAGCATCTTGACATTCCCACAGCGTGCAACTCACTCATCGCATAACACCACTGTCCCATCTCTTCCTTTCACTCTCCCTTCCTTTACTTTCTTCACCTCTCTGTGTTATCGCTCCCCTTTGGAGAGCTATCTCACTCCCCTTTGCCTTCCTTATCGGTCCGCTCCAGCCCACCACACACACAGGCAAACAAAGAGCTCCATCAGCCCTGGAAAGAGGTGTCGAAGGGGGGCAGCGCAGCAGGGGCTGGGCTGGGCTGGAAGGGGGGAGTGGGGTAAAACGGGGTTATTTTATTACAGGTTAAAGAGACTGATATGCTGGTTATGGTTGTTGCCGATGGAGGGAAAGAGACAGAGGAAGAGAGGGGAAACAGACACGGGGTTATGCTCTTTGTGTGTCTGTCCATGTTTGTGAGTGCTGTTGAAATGACACCATCAGTGCAGTGGGCGGCAGTGGTTTCTGATAGATGGCTAGACAAGAGGACGGGGGTTAAAAATATCACTGTTCTTTCCTCTCTTATCTGGTGACGCAAAACACAGTGACGAGCAAAATAATTTGGCTAATTCATAACAGTGACAGTTTCTGAATTTGTCATGGCATATTTTTCACACTGGGATAATAAGTTTAATGCATGGATGGATTACATCTGTTTACACAAAGACACCCGTGTTGCTACACACCTGATAATTTGTGATAATGCCATGTACTGCATTGCTAAATGCAAATTAAAGTTAACTGCTAGCTGCTAATTAAAGAACAAATAAATAGATACAATATATTAGCACACATTAGGAGTGATACAATATTAATAAGAGACAAATATTAGCATATACATCAGGATTGTCACTGCCTGTGACACTACAAAACGGTATTTTGTCAGGCAACCTAAAAAGAGCTTTATGTAGTAACATCCATGAACCAGAATGCGTTCAAGTCAAAACATTTTTTTTTAAAGTTCACCACCAATAATAATAATAATAATAATTCATTATTATATCTAACCTGGTCCTTAGCATT